GTGCTACGACAACCTTAAATGTTTATCCCTAGCATTAAAAAATGTACGTGTGAAGTGTTTGCGTAGGGCAAACACTCTTTATTACAGTTGCGTTTAGGAATTTGAGAGTTTTCTTTGCCATATGAGGGTCTTAGTCCTGTATGAGGCCCTTTCTGGAACACAGGTTGTATTATTAGGAAGTGAGAGCAAGTGAGGAAATTAAGTTTAAAATAAAGAAAATAAAGAAGGCTTGTCTGAAAATAAGAGAAATACAAGGGAGTCAGTTTGGACTTGGCTGATCGCGAGTGAGGATGTAGAACATTTTTTCTGTTATATCAGTAATATCAGTCAGTATTCTTTTTCAAATATATTTTGTTATCCCTTTTGTTGGAAATCTTTTTGGAATAATGGAAACAGTTTTATGAGCAAAACCGCCCAACACGTGGACCACCCCCTAGACAAAGGGCCTTGTCTTTTGAGCAGACCTCTTACCCTGGACGAACTGGTGACCAGGGACACTCTTTAACGAACTCTCTAACAAGCAACATAAGCAACTAAAGTTTAATTGTTAACAATAAATGAAAGATTGAGTCATCCAATTAAATTATTGGCAATATAACTTCATCTACACTTTCAAATAAAAGGATCCTCTTCCTATATCATTTTGATCCTACACATATGTTCTGAAAAAAATATAATATATCGGATATAGAGTGAATATGTTCTCGTATGTATAGATATTATACACACATATTCGTCATATATCGAACATATGAACGCGATATATCGGTATAAAATGCAATATGTCACATATATGTCACATGTAATTATTAAGATATATATTTTTTCTGTGCGGTTATTCCATTTTAAATTGACGGAATCATCATCGTCTCCTTCAATCTACTGAATATTATTCACGATTTGTTCCTTTGTCACTTATCATCATGGCACCACGAAAAAACGCATCGATTGAATGCCTACATTTTTTATCCGAAAATTGCCAACTCGCGCAATAAATATTCACTTATTTTTGGAAAGTTCTATTCACATTCTGTTATACATTTGAGTCAATCCTCCGCGTACTTTAGCACTCATGTACAGAGAACATAATTGGGTAAATGGAAAAATGAAAAAAAAAATTCTTTTGAAATTAACAAATGGCAATAATGAATAGTCGCAATTTTTTTTTTTATTATTGCGAGTGGTAAATATCGAATTGAATAAATTTGCTCAAACCAAGTAATTGAAATTTTGGAGTTTAATTGTTATTTTACGTGATTGCAGGAACCCAACCAAGTAACCTCAACTAATTATTTCTTTTCTATATTAAGATTAGAAAAATATTTTCAACTGCTCAATAGTCACAAAAAATTAATACAATAAAATTTAAAAATACTTGTTTCGGTTTCGATTTTTTATACCTACGTTATTGATAGTACACTCTTTTCTTGTTATTACATATTTATTAAGAAATAGTGAATTAGCGTGAATCTATCAAGATTAAATTAATCAAATAGTTACTCAGTTGGAAAATATTTTCCATTGTTGTAAACCTAATTTAATAAAAATAACTAATTTTGGTCGCCAACTAGGTTATTTTACTAAATTTTTCTCTCAGTAATAAAAGAATACGGAAACTATATTCAAGTGTGTATATATAATTTCATCAAGGCGGGAAGCCATTGGCGAGTCATTCCAGACTTGAATTAAGAAAAAAAAAATAAAATGACGATCAATCCTGTTAATATTTGATCGACGCTTTTTCTCTCTCAGCTCTATTCATCACCTCTCTATGTTTTTGAAAAAAGGTCTCGACACTCCGGTGGCAGTTAGTTCCACTAAGTTTCCCGCATTCGACATTAAACTGTTCCTGTCAGCTATGGGGCAAAAAGATGGGAAAAGCAAGAGGACAGCCAGTTGTCCTGACACATGCATGTCTGCATTCAGTCGTTGTTAACTTGTGTAAACACTTGTTCTCGTCAAATTTCTCCATCCACCGGTGCTGTTTTCGCACGTCAAATTCAGAGCACTCAACCGACCGATGTACAACAGCCATTATAACAAAAATTTTGGCGCATCGCACTCACCGCATCAATTTTTCTAATAATTGCCACAAAAAAAAAGAAAAAAACGAATGAGATTGCTTTAGCAATTGCGCAATTTTTAAAATTGAAACAATACCACTCAGACCAAAATCGACGTATATCAATTCACGTGATCTGCATCACTTCATGAATCGTTAAACCCAATAATGAAATACAAATAGCTTTGAAATTGTTCAAAAGCTTCATCATGGAATATCGGCAATTGTAACGAACCGAGACACCTAATTAACTCTCCCAGAATTAATTATTCTCCGAGATTATATCTCTGACCCAAAATACATTTGATTGCGTTCAAAGTGTGCCCTCAATCCACTACAATGAGATAAACATCATCAAAATTACATTCACCGAGAAACTAATGAGAATCAACCGGAATCTGTTGGAGGAAATTTTCCTCACGTTGATACTGCGGTATCTGGCTGTTTCACGACGTAAATACTCAACCGATTAAACGTTCAACGCAATAACACGGAGGCAGACAGGGAGTAGTTTGCATGTAATGTCAACGTTAATTGTCCTCTGGTGGATCATATACGATTCACGACAGATGAACGCCATGTTTACCCAAACCGCAGTGGAACACATGACATGAGTGCTGGCCTCCATATACCCTCTAGCATCCTCTTTGTCGCTGGATCCACACTATTTTCCCACTCGCTTGGGAATCCGATGAAACGCTTCAATTAGGCATGAACACTGCATTTTATCTCATGGAAATATTCCAAATTTTGCGCATATCGCGTCTGAATCACATCTGTAATGATCGATTGGTCATCGGAGGCCATCACTTAAAAATCTGCAGACATCGCCAACTCATTGGATATTGCGAATTGAATCAATGTGTGCTGTGAATGCTGATGGAAATTCCAGATCTATTGCTGGTACTAGAAGTGTCATGTTGCTTTCTATTGAAATGTGTCAATAGCTGTGCTATTCTATTCATCGCAAACTCTTCTACTCCAAATCAGTTGAGTTTGCGTCAAACATAAAACGAGTAGTAGGTGCTAGAGAATTTAACCGTAAAACTCACTAACAATGTCTGTCTTATGGAAATATTTCTAATTAGGCGCACATCGCCCGTGAATCATAGGTTTCATAATCGATTAGGCATTGGAGCCTATCACTTAAAAATCTGCAAATATGGTGAATTTATATAAATAACGCATTGAATCAATGTTTGCTGCGAATGTTGATGGCAATTTAAGCTCTATTGCAGGTGCTACGAATGTGATTTTGCTAGCTATCGAAATGTGTAAATAGTTCTACTATTTTGTCTATGGCGGATCGTTCTAATCCGAATCAATTGAGCTTGCATGAAACATAAAATAAGTAATAAAATGGGTAGTAAAGCTGCTAGGAAATTTGAACTTAAAACTCATTAAAAATCCTGGATAAAATGATTTTCTAATTAAATCTCCACTACGTCGCCATTAAATAATTAGTTCACTGCTGCCTCGCATTGTATTATTTTAGGTAATGGAATTAAATTATTCATAGAATTATATGAATCGTATATCTTTGATAGAACATGCACTTCATTAAATTATTACTATTATTCTAAGATCTTAATCAATAGTTTATAATCGTATTGCCAATATTGAACGATTAAATTCCTCTTTCAGAGGCATAAATAGAATAACAGGTAGGATGCTAAATACTAAATCTGTTTTTTGTAGTTAATTGTTAACTACCGAGTATTATTTCAAATGTTTGTGGATGTAAAATTCATCAAATCCAAAACAAGAATTTCAAAAATTGTAAAAAATTCACGAAAGTTTAGGATTTCTCTGCAAAACGCGCAACATGTTCTTTATTTCGACTCTGAAACTACCTTTACCTCGATATTCCATTCATATTGTCATCTTCAGTAATATAGTACACTCGTGCTGCTCAATAAATCAAACCGCCAAATGTAGGTACAAGACTCGGCACATGACTCTGAGTGCTCCTCTTCAAATACGACGCCCGATTCAGAAAGAATACTTCTGTCCAAACGACCACCACTACTGAAGTGGTGCATTTCAAATGTCAAATGACTGGTAAAAATTCAGACGATCTACGGAATGCCTCTCGTTTTGATGTTATCATCTTACGGTTCATACATTTTCTTCCTTCACATCCGTCTCTTGACTCGTATTTCCTTTCCTACATTTTCCGAGTCGAACGATACGTACGATCTTTCCTAACGGATATATTCTCAATCCAGAAAGATATACGGAGAAAGCGTAAACCTGTTCGACTCAAAGAGGTTTTATGTGTGTTGCTTTTGTATGGTAAATTTGTAGCATCTAAGCTGGCACGCGATTTTTATATTCATGAGCTGACAATACGTTAGAACATACGAATTTCTTTCCTTCAATAGAGAAGTATAGATGAAGATTATTGGCTATTAACGAGTCGTTTCAATTGCCAACAAATGAAAACCCTAGGAATATTTGGAATATTCATTAAGGTTATTTGAATTCAACGGATAATTAAAGGATCCCATAAATACAGCCATTGACAAAGGGATCTGCTATCTCCGCATTTGGCGAAACAACTTCCTCTCGCTTTGACCGATCTAATCCCCAAAACTGCGAACCCCGAACATTTGTATAAACTATCGCATTTTTTCGAAACTACCTGAGACGAATAAAATGGGCGAGGTTAATCCCTCAACCTGAACGAGGGTGCTTGAGAATCCTCTTATCTTCCACCAATAGCCCTTCTCAAATAAACGAAGTCTCTATCGACTGGATTCAAATACCATTCCAAGACGAAAATTCCAGAGATCAATTCCCACAAAATAGTAACTCTTCTCGCCTTATCATCCTACGTTAAACTTGACAATTGAACCCAAGCACACATTTGTCGAGAAAATAACTGAGAGTAACGCACTGAAATAAATGCTGATGACATCTTAAAGTGAACCCTTACCGAGAATGCCTTGAGAAAAACCAGACACTGAATGATGCCCTCCATAGTATCCCCAGTCAGACAGAATGTGCCAGTAAGATGACGACCTTTTCGACCAATCACCGAGCACATGCTCGCTTGGACAAAAGCATTTTGCGTTCTTGATGCAGCGGTGAGAGCCGAATGATGAGGTCCGGTGCTCATTAACCGCTCCAACGAGTCCATCCCTCTTTATTTTGTATCTTCCTTCAACGATGATCCCTCTATACCTCGTCTTTCAGGATTATAACGGAGAATCAGTTCTACTAAGATTCACAAGACGTAAGGCGACACTTTAAGTAGCACATCCTGATACTATGTTACTCCACAACAAAGTTCCAATCGCCAGCAAATCACATCAAACCTGTTCATAAGTATTCCGCAAAATCCTCTGAAGCATTGGTTTCCGCAATCTGGATTAGTGTTCTATGATAAACAACGTCTCGCAGAGTCAACGCGTTCAGCTAAATATGTCAGCTCAACTCGGTGGACACTCGGATTACGTTGAGTACTAGGCAGAGGCACTAACCTCGTCTGTCAAGCCCAGCCACTCCATTCGTCCTCAATTCACTCAATGATTGATCAAAGCCTGATACCCTCATCAACCAGCCGTTCAAGTATTTCATCAAACACTATTTCCCACAGAGGCACTGTTCTCCCTGTTGAATCAATCCAACTCTCTGGGATAGGTATGCATGCATACGTCTAACGGTACGAAAGATTGATTATAGATGGTTGAAAGCATGACTGACAGACTCCCATGAAGTTTGATGGCCCATGATCGACTCAGATCAATGCACTTGCACTCTCAAGAAGTTTCATAAGTTTGAGAAGACTTCATTGAATATGCCTCATCAAGCTAATTTGTATCCATCATCACAAAAGGAAATGAGCAAATGGACTTCACACGACATTTCAACATCGAAGTGGACTTTTGAATGTTCTTGTGGTTCACCAATGCTTTTCACTTGATTCCGTGGCTGGCCTGCGGGTTACAAGGAAATGTATTGTCCCCAAGGGTTTCAGCTCCTGGTAAGTATTCAATTCATCAGCTAAATGTGTTTCCTAGTCCATTTATCTTTTTGCGAGGAATATCCCAATGGCAACATGATTCAGATTCTCGTACACATGCACTTGGATTTGGAATCCCTTTTCTTATTGTGAACAGCACTCCGGAGGATTCTGTGGTGAAATTTTGTGCGAGATTGAGTAAACTCGGGGTGAAGGTGGTGCCGATGGTCCAATATCATGGGGATTATGGCTCGAGGGTGTTGCATAACGTCTGATCAAATCGCAGAACTCATAACAAAGAAAGCATATTCCAATTATCAGAAAAGTATCCATTTTTGAAATGTCTCTTTTAAATTGATAGGTAGCGATCAAATTGATTGAATCACACACCAGCAGATACCTACGATTTTAATTAAAAATTGAGTTTGTGGGGAATATCAGCGTCAATCAATTATTGAAAAATCTCGTTTCCCACATTTCATCAGTCACAATATCCCACTCATTAATTGTACCGGCAATCACCAAACGTCAATCATAGAGATTCCTCGTGAGCACCATTGTCTTGTGTTACACGCATGCTAGCAATATGGTGGCACTCCAGCCAATAGAGTCGGTAATAGTTATGACAATCCAATGCCAACAGCACTGGCGGTGGTACTGGATCGGGTGTCGGTGTTGATGATGTTGACGGTTGTCCCGTTGCTATATCTACAAACAAGGATCCCATTGGAAGCACCATGCACAAGAATTGGCAATCTGGCTCAGTTTCTCTAATTATGCATCCACGACGTTGTTGTCAATTGAAATGGCAATTGCTGACCTAGACTACAGATGCTTCAATCCGGGAAGCGGTCCTACTGTGACAACTATACAGCAGTTGGCGTCATCGTGGCGATCATCATTATAAGAATCAGCATCCCAAATGACAGGACAAATCATACCAATTACTTCTTGATGGATCACTGATTGACACTTCACTATCGATGATAAAGTTGATATCACTATTCAGCTGTATACTTATTTGATGGTATGCCACTAGTTGTGGATGCTAGTAACTTTATTCGCACTGGGACTGTCAACGTGGATGGAAAACGCTGTGATTACGCCACTTCTGGAAAATAGAGTTAACTCGCAAGGGTCCAACGTATGACTAGCGGGATACTCCTGGCACTGAGGGTGCGCCTCCACGAGAGACTAGCGTCACAGGGGATGCTGGGCGACGGCGCGGCCTGCGGCGCCACCCTATCCACTCCGCCACCAGTACCCCGCACCCACCAACTCCACCACCCATTCCAACCGACCACGCCGTTTTATCTCCTTCCCTTTTTACTCCCTTTCTTTTTCTCCTTCAGTCGTGCTTTCCTCCCTTTTTTTTTCTCCAACTTTCTGGGTGCTCTTATTTTTCACCTTCCAACCTCACATCCTCAGTGGAACGTCTCTTCCCTACGCTTGTACATGTCCCATGTATCTGCCCAGATTTTCTCCCTTTTTCTATCACAACTTCACACGATAAAAGGAAAATTTTGAGTTTGGAAATTTGCGGAAATGGAAACTGCTTTCCGTCTGATATTTTTTTTTCTCTGTATGTAGTAATGTTTTATGTCGGAAATTTCAAAGTGCTTATGACGAAACTGATTAAATCGATTCTGTACTGGGACCAGGTGAATTTGTCGCTCATCAAATGCGGATTAACGGTCATTTAATCCTCAAATATAATCCACTTGTGACAGAAATGATTTTCATGCTCCTTCGGGATATCTGCGGCTGACAGGAAGCTAATGCGATGTTAAGGATTAAATGGTGAATTGAAGGCAAACAATTTTCCAAAGTTGGTCTATTAAAAATTCTTCAGCCCACACTTTTGCCAAAGAAGTTTGATTGGATGTGCATCGAAATCAAAAGTTTGACTTAGAGAGTTAACTCTTAGATTTTGTAAAGCAACTTTCGAATTTCGCTTGCTAATCTTCTCTCATTTCATCTCTTATCTTTCCCAACTTGTTACAGATGATGGATGGGGTAACTTCAATTAGGGAGAAAAAACTTTCCGGAAATTCCGAAGACACAAATGGACGATTTCATCTGATGAGACCTTTGATCTGAAACTAGAAAATCTTATCCGATTTCCCAGAAGCTGCGTCAGAGGTCTCGCGAATATCCGATAACATTGGTCGGTGCATCCGCTGCTTATGGGGTGTTGCATTGGTGCACCGTTAATGGCGAATCGGCCGATTCGTTGGTTACCGATAGGCTGTATAGAACAAAGTGCGCGTGCACTTAATCACGGCAACAAAGGCAACCTGCCACGTAGTTTGGAGATCGATAGGGAACAGGGATGTGGCTCACTGTCGACTGTGTATCAACTCCTTTCTATTCTCCAGTCACTAACGAGATTTGTGTAGTTGTCTCAATATCTAACGCGGAGTTGGGGATGAATAATTTGCTGCACTAGTTGGATTTTACAGCTAAAAACGGAGGCTTGCGGTGCAGGAATAGCTACAATGCTATTTGCACATCATTTCATTTTCTGATGTGATAAGTGGATTCCACAGAAATGCAGTGGAATGCAGCGATGACGGGAGACTTGATAACTGAGTAATATGCGAACATTTGATATTTACCGATCTTTGTCTCGACGGAAAGTATTAAATTAAGTGTTAGACGGAAACTTTGATTAGCTGTTGTTAATTATCCAACGAGTTGGTTTTTTCGAATGTTCATTTAAATTTGGCTTTGTCTGGAGTTACAGGACACGAACTATTAATGTTCTTTGATAGTTCATTCAGTTGTTAGGTAATCATCAACCAATTTCTATTTCAGGATTTTTGACGCGATCTTTACTATTCAGCTAGACTTCTCGATGAGTATTAATAAAGATAATAACTCTTCTGGGCATGTTCAAGGTTGCAATTGGTCAATAGCTACACACAGAAAATACTACACTTAAAATACAAGGTTTAGAATGTAATTTACGAATTTTTTCATCTTGCGAATTACGGGTTTGGAAACTTAAATTATGAGCTAAAACTAGGTAAATTACCCCCAGAAATGCCGTAAATTACGATTTTTATGTCGTAAATTACGGGGTCGATCGCGTAATTTACGTAATCCATTCTTGCTTTACACTTTTTTTCTCAACATATAGACCCTTGTTGGTAAATAAATACTCCTATCGCTATTATCACCAGATGAATCCTCTGATATTGATTTCCTGACGATCATGTTGTTAATTACTACAGAAAATTCATCAATATCACGTAGGAATGCGGAATTATAAGAGCATGACGGACAATTTCCTTCTATGGAAAAGGTGTGGAGTTAGGTATTTGTCGAATTCGGTGCAATCCAAATTCTCGAGTTATGCCTGACGTTACGAACGCGCGCGTAAGGATGCCATTATTCGCGTAATCCAAATACTTGGAGTTGCTCCATCAGAAAAAGGAATTCGAATTCGGGAGAAAAATACGTAAAACCGAGGGGTGGGAGTGAATCGATCGAACAGAAGTAATTAATTTTCAATCGGTTGGCGGTCCTGGCGCAAGGTAAGAGCATTTGAATCAGGAGAGGAGGGAAAATCTGTGGAGTTGCCGGCAATGAAACTGCAAATGGGATAGACGTTACCAGAGCGACGGCAGTGGTACGACTGGCGGGCTTCGAGGCTTGGATATTTAGAGCTTGTTCAACTACTGATATATTTCGACATTTACGACTAACCAATAATTTTATGTGATGCATTATCCGACTTGAATAGTAAATCTTCAACTCAATATTAGTGTTGCCAACTCCACCTCAGATATTCAAAGCCTTTCCACTAATGCTTATATAATCACTATTCCATTGAAACTTAAATTTCGTAATCTACTGTTCGCAAATTAATTCTGCAGTGCTCAATTGGCGTAGAACTAACGTAACATTTTCGTTATTAATGTATGATACTCGAAAATTTTGTGATTAATCTATCAACGGAGTGTAATTCTGAGTTTTCCACTTGAGAATTTTTAGTTATTACACTGAGGAAGAATAAGCGTCCATCAAATTTGTGTAATTGATTGTCATTTAATTTTTTTTCGTTGATTCAAGTCCGAAATGGTGGGAGCCGATAGCGTCTCGTTATGATGGAAGTATACATATACTCAAATAAAGTTTTTATAGTACTTTGTAAGCCTATTGATTCAAACCTGTGTCTCATTCATGTATACGGGCGGAATTGATTTAAGTGTATAGTCGATTGCGAATCAGGATTACCAGATGGTGGCTTGTCGAAAATTCTTTTTTCTTTCATAAGAACATAGGCCACCATAGCCAAGTATCAATGAGCTATCAACAACACCCTGCGCAAAAACGTCGACCATTCGCCTTATCGACTTGTCTTGATTGATTAAGACTGTATAAAATCAAAAAGATATTTTCAAAAAATCGCTATCTGGAAACTCTGGTGCGAGTAGACTTTTCAAAAAATAACTTCATGTTCAGTGCCATGCGTTGCATTCGTTGCGAATTTCAATTTCAAACATACGCGCTCAAATAATCCTTTTTTTCCCCGTGTGTTTAATCGTGTGTTCAAATTCTATCGGTCACTGCGAAGCATTCCGTATTTCTGTTTTTTGGTCGCCAATATATGAAGCGATACCTTTATATCGAGTTGAAAAATATCAATTCAATGAAGAAAAGATTCAATGAAGAAAATGCAACACTGATTTTTAAAACGCATAGTGATTAATCCGTAATTAGATCCAAAACACTTGTTCGGATCGATGAAAATATAAGATTTAATCTGGATTAAATGTGATGTTTTCATCAGTTAGGGTAGTGTCGCTGGACTGCAGTTGGATGAAATGTTTTCACAAGAGTTTAATCAGAAAATCCTCACTATTAGTGGAACTGCGCCTAAGCTCAGATTGGACAAGCTCTTCAACTCCGTTGACTGGGTAATCATGGAAATGATGATCTCGATTAATCATACATTAACATTCGATGCTTACGTTACCGATCCGTTCAGAATTATGGAAGTACGTAAATTCCAAAATTTTAAAAAGATAATGCCAATAATTGTGACAGGTCACAATTAGTCTCATAATATCATTTAATACTTGATTTAAGTATATTTTTGACATATAAAATCTAAATATTAAAACAATCTTAGATATCTAAAAAAATTACCTATAATTTATGTTTTTTTCTTTAATTAATGTCAATTGATGAATACAATATTTTTTTTCTTATTCTAGACAAATTATAACTTCATGATTTTATTAAAATGGTATATTATATTATATTATATATAATAAAAAGCTGGCAAAAAACGTTACATGCTTTTTTTTTTAAAAGGAATAGTGAATCGGGAATAATTCACTTGGCACTCAGAAGAAAAATCAAACCTATTTTTTTCTTACTGATAGAGAGGTGGGAGAAAAAAATAGGTTTGATTTTTCCTCTGGGTGGCAAGTGAATTTTTCCCGATTCGCTAGGTGGACTCCTCA